TCATTTAAATGTAGGCTTGCAGAACTGGCTGAAATATTTCTCCCAGATTCAGACACACACAGAAGGACTATTGTCTTCTGCCAGTTCCTCGGTATGATGTCATAACCCTGGTCTCTCTGAGTAAGAAGCTTTGATTTATAGCCAGGGCTGCTGCCAATGTGTGGTTCTCAGAACTTCGTATTAAATTAGATGACATAATGACATGGGTTCAGAGTCTAAAGAAGGCATTATCAAACCATTGTAAACCAATTAGCAGAGATTAAGTTGCTTATCAGACTAATTTAGAACTGTGAGCTCTGCTTTTTTTTAATATTCAAAATCGAGGACTATTTAAAATCATCTGTCAGCTGATCTAATACCTTGTGAAGTAGTAGGCATTTAAAAACTCACCATACTTGCATTCTTTTTTCCCTTTTCATGTCAAGGGCCAGATCCTTCAGCTGAGTCTCTTAAATGAATAGCATTACTTCTGAGCCTGAGCATATGTAAAAAGAGAATCATCTTTTCTGTTTACAATTTCACAAATTCTGGCTTCATTGCTCCAGTTTATTATTGGCAAATCTCAGCGTATGGCAAATTCAGTCACAGTTTTTCATGCTAGCCAGCTGAGAGTCTGCAAGACTGAGTATTATCTCACCACCACATAGCAGTTTTGAGACAGAATGGTTGTTGTTATTTGATATGGCTCCGCTGGATTTAAGAAATAGTCTGGTTTCTGCTGAAAGGGCTTGCAGGTTTAGAACAGCTGTAGAGTTTTGCAGTTAATTGCCAGTCCAGGCCTGCTGTGTGACTAGGAGTGTCTCTTTTAGCTGACAAAGTCTTACCAAGTCATTTAAGATTTTAAATACTTGAGCTAGAAGTTAGTCAGACTAATGCCATTCTCTGTTAAATAATAATCCTGAGAATATTAATGGTACTGTCTATATCACACTTCAGCTCCCTGCGTGAAATACTCACTTGTGCAAGTGAGTGATGGTGGAAATGGATGTGTGTTATGGCAGCTAGCTTACTGTGCCTCCACAAGGGTGTTTAAAAAGGGCTCAAAACTCCTTCCTTGGGCTTGGGACTGTAAAGATTTGCAGTTAGTCAAGCATGAGTCATTAGGGATGTGGTAACACTAGTTCCCAACTGCCCGGTTTAGTTGTCTTATGTGGAGGATTGTCCTGTGAGGAGGATTGTCCTGTGAGTTGCCCAGAGTTCTTCTGTGGAGGGCCAGAAGTTGTACTTGATCCTCAAGGGTCCCTTCCAACTCAGGATACTCTACCATTTTCTGAAGGAACCCACTAGGTTACTGCCTAGGATGAAATGGTGAAGGTGGGCGCTGAGGTTTGTATCATCCACTGCTCTAAGTCAGCTGAAGTTGCTCACTCCAGCTAGGTGTCTCAGTCCCCCAGAATTCTGTAAGGCAGTGGGTAGGGTGTGTTAGCAGCAGCCTTATTACATGCAAGTATTCTAACTTGTTTCACTAATGCCATAGACACCATGATGGTAAGTGTGTAGCCAGCGAGTACAGCTACAGGCTGTTCCTGCATTGTTTTTGGAAGGCCTGCCTTGGACCCTCCACAGCTCTTGCCTTGGGCCCTCCACAGTCATAGAATCATAGAATTTTAAGGGTTGGAATGGACCTTATGGATCATCTAGTCCCAACCAGTCCTTTGAAAAGTGTAAGAAAATGGTTGCCCTTTTAAAGAAAGAATATAAGGTGCTTTACATCGAGTTTTGACACATTCAGACTATTTTCAGAATAACCAGGAGATGAGACCCACAGCTACATTGAGCTGAATTTGAAAATACAAACATTGGCAAAGATTTTGGCCTTTGTTGCTCCATTCAGTTAAGTTACATAGGCTGGGGAGAAGCAGGCAACAGGATGGAGTCGCATAAATAAACTGCTAACAGGTGTAATGTAACAATTTGTGGTATATCTTTTCTCCACAAGTCAACTACTGTAGTTATGCATGTAAAATACTAAAGTCGAGGTCTGGCCAGAAAGGGAAGTGTTAATGTCTTTAGGTTTCTTCGGACTTGCTCATCATTGCAGGTCTGATTCCAAATAATCTGTGTCATTAGTAATGGTTTCTCCATGGGGGAAAAAAAATCCCACACAGCTTCCCTCTCCAAACTGTTACCCCGTGAAGACATTTGTACTTTTTTAAAGGCAAGTGAGTGGCTGCCAATCCCAGTTTGGTAAGATCCATGTGTTCACTATGCACAGGGTTAATGGCAAAGCACCAAAAAATCAGATACAAATCCCTTCACCATTTGAGCATGAATACTTTTTCTGTCTTTCAGTGTAATACTTACTCTGATGATGAGATTAGCATACAAACAAAATATGCGATACTGAGCAAGGGGCAACTTTTACTATGTTGAAAGAACTCATTAAAAAAAGTAATGGAGACAACTCAGTTGAACAAGTTCAGGCACCTCTGAGCCTAAGTGCAGGGTAGTATCTGTCTATTTAAAGACAGTTTGCTTCCCATTACATGAGATAACTGATGCTCAGGTGTATCAGTTCAGATCAAAACAATGCAAACAGATGTCAAACAAAATGGAGGTGCCACTTAATCTCATATTTCTCCATATTTCACTCTCTAGCTACCAACCTGCTATTAGCAAACAAGGTACTGTGACTTACCCTGACTGGTCCTCTAACTAACACCAGTCTCTAGGCAGCCAGGAATGTCCTTGGTTGCTGTCATTATCTCGAAGTGAGTCTTTGGACTAGCAGATGTGGAATAGAGTCCCACCCATCGGTCCTCCATCTGGCGCAGAGCAGGACTTACTGGTTATCCTCTGTTGGTTGCAGCACATGTATTTCAGTGTAGCAACATGCAAAAAGAGATTCACAATATTCATGGCCGCTAATCAGACCTCAACATGGACCCCATGGCATTGCTTTTGTAAGAAAAATTTCAAAGTGAAGTGACAAAAAGGTGCCTGATGAACCAGGTTTTAAAGATATGCTGTAGAAGAGCTACGATGAAAATTCATCCTGAGATCAGGAACCTGCCTTCTGTAAAGTCTACGACATGGCTGCTACCAGGGTTATAACCTTTCCCTAGGTTCTGACAAGTCAGACAGCCACAGGGTTTATTGGATTTGTATTGCCAGTGGTTGAGCTTGGAATTATTTAGCACAGGTGTTTCTATAACAGTGATATATTGGGAAAATCCAGTGTTCAACAACCATCATATTTCCAGCTGTGCTGTGGTTAGTGCTAGTACAGTGAACCTAATATAAAACATGTGAGAATATTTGCTAGCTCAGGAACTTGTTAAAGGCATTTTCTTACAATATCTGAGCTGCCGTGTTTATCTAGGTGTGTTTCTTTGGTCTTGCATTTTTGGAAAGGGTGTGATAGCGGTTTTATAAAGCTGTCACTGAACCTGGAATCCACTTCTCTGCAACCAAGTAGCCTTGCTAGGCAGTGTGCAGCGCATGAGCTAGTGAAAATAAGATTATGAGGAATCCAATGACAGTCCGTTATCCCTAGCACATTTGCCTTGAGCAGCACCTGTGCATCTGTTACATATATAGACCTGTTTTTACTAGGGGTGCTAGAAATCTTGAAACAAGTGTTGCAGGCATCTACATGTAAAAGAACATAAAAGGAGCAAAGTTAACAAGGGTCTAGGGGACTGTAAAACAAGGGTAGTGAAGTGCATTCACCAGCAGCAAAATTTGTGAGTGTTAAAAGAGGTTTTATATCTACACATGCACACACGTGCATTTCTGGGGGTTCAAAAACACTCAAACACAGTAAATGGTTGGACAATGTATAAGGGTTTTTGTAAAATGCATGCAAATAACAGTACAGAGACACTCATGCAACACACATCTCTGAGCTGAGTTGTGTAAAGATGTTTTATTAACAACTTTCTAATTTTTCTAATAACGAGCCGATTGTCCCACAATGGTTTGGTTATTAAAATATTGTGAAAGATATTCTCTGGTGTCACCAGAAATTTTTTAGAAAGAAGATAAATGCCTCTATGCATCCATGCTCGATTGTTACATGCATTAGAGTTGCATCTGTCTAGAAAAAAACTCACATCTACAGACTAGCTTGGCCCTATTATTTATAATATTCCTGATAGAGAAAGTGGGTGTGTTTTACCTGTGCATTACATCTGTTAGAGGAGAAGCTTCAAAGGCACCTCTCTTTGATTTGAGAGAGAAAGCTGATGTGAAAAAGACACTTTGCTTTGAGGAAGGATCTTCTCTGACTCGAGAAAGCAGTTCTACATTTGTCATCACTGAGTTGATGCTCATTGACAGTCATTTCTGTCCACATTCTGGTGGTTTATGAGACACCACAACTCAATTAGAGCATATTTTGGGACAATGTGTAGAGCAGGCAGAGGTCTAGAATAGAAGTCAGTTTTTCTTGGTTGCCAGAGACTGACTAACATTTGTTAGGAGCTGGCATTAGCAGAAATTAAACACAATTACGTAAAAACTAAATAAATCAAATCCTACTCTTTCAAAAATATGTCATAATTGAAAACTTCTTGTACGTAACTGTTTGTCATGTATCTTTGCAACTCTACTTTCATTGAACTCTGAAAGCCTCATCTCTACCTTATTATGCTCCAGTTACTGAGTGTGCAGACATTTATCAAATGGGCCATCGGTAGCCGTAGAAATGCAGTAGTATATCCAAGTTAAAATTCTTGCCTTGATTACTACAAATCCATGGAGCCCTTGGGTCCAAAGCTTCCACTGAAGCACAGCTATTTGCAAATAGATTTTTATAGCACATTAGTGCTGGAGGAGAGTCCAAAGAAAATAGTCCTTTTCAATATTAGAACCAGCTGTGACTTTCTTGTGCTGATGACTCATTCATTTTTTTTTATAGGGTGGGAGAACTAGGCAAAAGACACACAGAGTCTTATTCAAGACGTTGTTTGTTTTGCAAAGGGTATCCTAGCCACAAGCCAACTTGATCATACCAATACGCAACTCATGTTTATTTAAAACCTTTTTTCTTTTAACAGTTCCAATTATAAAAACAGAACCCACAGATGACTATGAGCCTGCTCAAACCTGTGGACCAATGAACCAAGGCTTAAGCCCTCTCTCTAAACCATACTACAGCCAGCAGATCATGATGCCCCCTGATCCTGGTTCGTGCCTCGTGGCTGGCTTTGCCTCCTGTCAGCAGAGAAACGCTGTGATGTCACCCTCTCCCAATGCAAGCCCCAAGCTGCATGACCTTTCGTCCTCTCCTTACAAGTGCATCCCCAACCCAGGCCACAGTCACCTCGGACTTCAACAGCCCGCTGGAGGTGTGCCCACCATACAGGAAGTGCCAAGGTCTATAGTTGTGCACCCAAGCTCCCCCGAGCAATCATCTCACATCATGCTGCAGCCGCAGGTGAGTCAACATCTGAGCAGTAGCTGTCCCCTTGGTTATCAACAAACACTCTATCCCAACAGTCCCTCTTCTCCAGTTCCATCTGTTACCCAAGAGCCAACCTATTTGCAGTCCTGCAGTCCAACTCACTCATCCATAATGGGTCAACAGCAGCAGCAACTGCCGAAGGTTCACAGAAATGAGTCTCCAACAACCCAACCACTGTCATTGCCAGAGTTGCATGAGGAAAGTAATCATAATTTGGCCCCTATTCCTGTAACGATCAAGCGAGAACCTGAGGAATTGGACCAGATGTACCTGGATGATGGTAAGTCTTCCTCAGCATAGGTTTGCATTCACCATGTTGCTCTATCAGTGAGTTCCCTTAACCCCCTCCTTCTTTTGAATCCTGGTGGAAAAAAGTTCAATTAACAGCCTGGCGGAATGGTGCGGACTTTTGCTTGGATTGTCTCTATACAGGAAAAGGCCCTTTCATTTCATTGCGATAATGAAACCACATTATGTAAGCATTAAATGCTGTTAGTTAGCATAAGGCTAGCTGCATGACTGATAGCTATGTTGTAATAATCTTAACTGTATGTTCTTGGCTTATGCCCACACCAGTGACCCATGGAACTGCAGTGAAAACATTTAACATTGTCCCATTCATAATGCAGTGAAATGTCTCCTGTGCAAATCTGTTGACTGGAACTAAATGATAAACTGCTCTACTTCAGTTGAGAAGGTTCAAATTAAAAATGGAGGCACATCTTTCAGCGTAACTTTTCAGTCTGTTGGTGTCTGACATTAAGACTACTTTTTCTTCCATTCTTACCGTGTATTTGCTGCTACTTTTTCTTTTTTTTTTTGAAACTTTTGTAAGATTCTGTAGATATATATATTCTACATGCACCACTGAAAAGTTAAAATGCTGTGATGAACTTGTCAGACTCTAGTTTCCAAAGATTTATTAGTCAAATGTAATAAAAGGGATAATCTGGAATTTGATTATGTGACCTCACTGAACTGTGATTTAGCATTTGCTGCTAAGTATCCCAGTAGTATTCTGGACCTTCACCTTAATGCAGTATGTGAGTTCCCTTAAAATATCCACATAACATTATATAACATATGATGCTATTTGAAAAAGAAATGCCTCTCAAATGGCTGCATTGAAACTAATTGGTGCCAAGGAACATCTGAATATGATTGTCCTTCAAGGAGAATTTAAAGACAATTCATTGCACTGTTTTTTAAGAAAAAGACTTTTTGTCATCCTATTTTAAACAACATGCTACTCACTGAATTAGGATTGCAAATTAAAGTTTTGGAGCCTGAGTAGCATCCCTTTGCCTTTCAACTCTAGGAAAATGATTTTTCTTAAAAGAAGTTCTTATTAGTTATGTGATGGACAGGTCTAAGGATTTTTTCCTAATTAGGAGTCCAGTTCACAAAAGTTTTGCACAACACGTCTTTTGTGACAAGGTTTTCTTCATATAGTGTGCATTTTTAGCACTTATCTGGGCTTTATAGAGCAAAATTTCAAGAAATAAAACAAGAAATGTACACAAACCAACAAAAAGCCGTGGCCGAATTTTGGTTTTGAGAGAAAACAGAAGTTATCTATGGAAGGAAGAGAATACAGATAAAATCTAAACCTAGCCTATAGCTATCTTTCTAGAAAAGCACAAGAAATGGACAGTCTTCCTGCCTTACCTCTCAAAAATCCAGCAACCACTTCTCTGACAGAACCATGAAAGTTGCCTTTGGCTTGTCTTTACTGGAGAGATGGGACTGTGTGTCAGGGAGGAATGGTAAATGAAGCTCCTCAGCTATATCTACTTCAGGTTTCTCGTGGAGGAGCAGAGAAACTTTGCTATCATGTGGTCTGAGAGAGGTTTTAGTTTTTACAGCAATTCTCATTCTCTCTAACAAAGTATAAATGGTTTAGCCTTTAACCTCACCTCTCTTCCATCTCCTCTTCTGGACACACATGCACATCAGTCCTCTAATAGATAATCAGAAGTAATTGTAGAAGCCACCATATATATCTGTGCTGATACTGTTGGTTGACATTGATGGTCCCTTCAGCTAGCCAAATCCAGATATACTTCCCTTTGACATCTAGCAGGCTATCAAAATTTTTCTGTGTTTGACCACAAGAGCTATAGACCAAGAAGGAATTCACAGACATAGCAGTCCTTGTAACAATATATGAAAGAAAAAAAAAACCCAGCCTTTTGTAGTTCCAAAAAATTATACCACCAGTTCCCTCTAAGGTGGTTAACCAGAAATGGCTAAACTGGTGTTAGGTTTGTCTCAGGGATCACACTGATGGTGTGCAGCCCACATGAGCTGATGTTTCCTATCTAAACCTTACTTCACTGCCTGAAGAAAAGGTCATCCACTCTATGTTTTGTGTTGATGAAATGAAGCCCTTGTAGAAATCTAAGAAAAGGTCATCCACTCTATGTTTTGCGTTGATAAAATGAAGCCCTTGTAGAAATCCGAAGTGGACGGCCATCATCTTCTTATTTGTCTCAGTATCTGGGCTGTTGAGACAGAAAGTATGTGTCAGAGGGGCTAAAGGCAGGAAGCATGTCTGGTTGGACTTGTGCTGGGCAAGACCCTGCGTTCAAACCATGCAGAACTCTGGCATGCCTCAGACACACAGCACAGGAGCATGAAGCTGTGTGTCAGGCTGGTAACCTGCTTAGGCCTATGCTATATGCATTTCATGAAGGCAGCCTTTTCACCACCACTGCAGCCATTGGTTTTAC